GGGGCGACGCCTCCCCCCCCACCAATCAATCAATCAATCAATCAATCAATCAATCAATCAATCAATCAAACCCTTTTTTTTTTTCTTTTTTTTTAATTTTGCATCTGCATTTTTTCAAAACACCTCATACTTCTGCAAAAAACATAAATTCATTTCTAAAAAATTACAGGTAAACTCACGGACCATATATCTCATGATAAAAAATGACCAAAAAAAATTCCTATTTTTCTTTATATTTTTTTTTTTAATTTTCTTTAAACCCAATTTCGTTTTTGATTTTTTTAAAATCCTAAACAAAGTCGGATAAAAAAAAAAAGTTATGGGGTTGTAGGGCTTAAAACTCCCTACAACCCATTTTTTTTTTTTTTTTACCTATTATTTAATTCAGGAAAATTCATGTAAAATCGGGTTCGCGGTGCGGACCAGGTAGGCCGCGGATGCGGACGCATTTGGGTCCGCGATCCGAGCTCGACCCCGCGGACGCGTCCGCGGGTGTTACATAGGACCATTCTAGAAAGAAATGGGGTGCGTGTCGCAAATAACCATATACAAGAAGCCAGCAGAGATTTCACTGACATCATAATCCGCAGTACTGCAGACTACAGAGTGCAGAAAGAAGCTAATATCCACGACCATGCAATCAGGCACGAATGCGATTTCCTCACCAAGCACTTCTATATTTCCGGGGCTGACAAAGCCCCGAACACACCTGTGCTCATTTGTATAAATCTGATAAGGTATTTTGCTCTCCGCAGACTCACTAGTCCCGACTTTGAACTATGCCCAATATCACCAAATGAGCTATTGACCCGACTTGAAGATGAGCTTATCTCGACCTTCCCAGACATCACGACCGGAAAAAGGGTGCTTCCTTATCTATTCGCGACATACAAAAAACACAAAAATTATTTCCGCTGGTTAATCAACCCGTCAGATATAATCTCCTCTCCCCTGGCTGACCTCGCAGCTGCCATTCTCATGGCACTTATTAAAGTAGTAAAAAACTACTGTGGAAACCTCACGCAGCAAACTCTCACAGAAACTAACCTAAAAGTACCCTACTGGTGGCCTATTGATTCGACTGCAGACTATGTGTACAATCTGCCCCACCAAACAACTGTCGCTTTTACTGCCGACATCACAAGATGTTACGAAACGATACCCACGGATAACAGCACGATGGGCTACCCAATGCAATCCGTTTCTTTACTAAGCTAGCATTCCAACAGGCAAAAAAGACCTTTGGACCCAATATACAGCTGGCCTTTAAATTCTACTATAAGGGGGACCAGCTCACACCAACCTGCGATTGGTTTCACCACCACCCCAATGGATACATATCGCTCACAGATAATATGGTTATCGCGATCAACTGCTGGCTAATCTCTAACGCCTACACTTGCCTTGGCGGCAAGGTCTGGAAACAGACCCTCGGGATTCCTATGGGAGTCATCTGCTCACCGGTTTGGTGTAACATATACTTTTTTAAATACGAATATAAGTTCATGAAAAAAATGACCCACAAAAATAGAAGGCACCTCCTACACTTATTCCGACATGTTTTCCGGTTCTTTGACGACTTCCACATCCTTAACAACCCAAGAATACATGAATTCCTTGACCTAAGAATCACCAGCCCAAGGAGTAGATACTACTTATATCCTCTGCACTTGATTACCCTCAAGGAGCAAACCTCTGAAAAGACTCGAATTAACGGTGATCTCGTCGGAACTAAGACCAATTTTTTTAAACACAACGATTCAAATAACTGACACACTAACTGGACAATATAAAACGTATAAATTTGACAAAAGAAAAGAGTTGAACTTCCCCATCACTAGGTTTATCAAAGCACACTCCAACAAACCAGCACAACAATCCCTCAACCTCATAATACCCCTAATCATCACAATCATGATAATCGAATCCGAATCCCAGCATGCAGCAATCGAAATAGCCGAAACCATTAAATATTTTTCACATAACGGCTTCTCCAGACACAGACTGGTAGGGATTGTCAAAAAGACTCTCCACCACCCAGGCGACTACCAACCCTTCCGCTGCTCCCCTGAAGAAGTACTCAATTATCTCCTAAGGACCTATAATAGCCAAGCCCCCTAATAGCTAGGAAAAAAATGCAGCAGGCTTATCTCACTATGAATAAAGAATCAAAATAAGTTGTAGCCCCCTCCATTAAAAACTTTGACCTCCCCCAAAAAATGTAACGCAGGAATAAACACATGAAATACCCCCAAACCACAAACAAACTTGCAAGCTGTCAACCACACCACCTACCATCACCAAAATGAACTTCTGAAACACCAACTCTTTCACCAACTCAAACAAACTCACGAGAACATAACTCTCTCTGTGTGTGTATGCCAAAAAACTGGCATGGTTCGGATGGAGGACCTACCCCATCCGAGGTAGGTCCTTTAATCCTAGTTAAAAGACCTACCCCTCCGGGACCTCCATCACGAGGGAACGGGGAGGGACACACACACACACACACACACACACACACA